GTCAATTATAAATTAGTGACCTGGACTTTGTCTTCTAATATATACGTATATACATGCTTGTCAAGGAAAGTAAGCGGATTAATCGAAACTCGAGAAAGAAGGTAATTACCATAAACGATTAACAGCGCCAGTTGTATACACAGTACGCAGTAGAACGTTTATTATTTGATTTTTTTTCTTTCGTTGTTTTTTCCCCTTCCCCCTCTCGTTATTATTATTGTCCGTTATTATTATTCTTATTCTTATTATTATTACTATTATTATTATTATTATTATTATAATATATGCGTTTATTATTGTTGCACGTATGTGGAACGTGAGTGTGAATGGGGGTAAGAGACTCGTGATTGCTTATCAATCAATTTTTGCACGCAAATCTCTACCCGATATTTCTCGATTAGTTTCGAGAATGTTTTCTAAAAGCGAGGAATCGTCATCAAAGTGCCATAAAAGTGTAGTTCGAAACGAAGGATTCGTCACTCGTGCGATTAATTCGCCATGAGTTATCTATAGAATCGTTTCTTCTTCTTTTTCTTCTTCTTCTTCCTCCTCTTCTCGTTTTTTTGAAAATGTTCTCTTCCTCTTTAATCTTTTTAAACGTTGTATATTTTGTTTTCTTTTTTTTTTTTTTCTTCTCGTTACTACGTTCCACAGCCGTGTTCTCACGTAGAAATTTCTCGTTAGTCATTCAAAACAGAGATCACAGAAAGATTACAGATCAATCCATTGCCTCTCTCCCCTTTTGTGTATATCGATATTATATCCATACCCATACCCACCACACACACACACACACGTATTACACACCAAATTCGAGAAATTCCCGCAATTATTATGAAGCACCGTTACTCTTAGCCAAAAATTAAATTTTATTTAGTTATTCGTTTTTTTTTAGCGATCGTGTGGATGCGTTTGGCATCATTTGACCGATGGTTACTGGATTGACGATCGTTGGCTCGACGACGAAAATAAGAAATAACCGTCTTCGAGCGAAATTATATTTTAAATGGCCCTTGTTGAAATATGAGCCACCATTGTATTTCTCGTGAAGAATCGTCGTCGAGCGTGACCGGGCGAGAAACGATCGACGATAGGACCATTGGCCACGGACGATCTTTAGATATTAAGATATTTCCTTCGTTTCGTGGCTTCCTCGAGTAAAGAAACGAACATTTTTTTGTTTTGTTTTGTTTTTTTTCTCTCGACAACAACAAATTTTTCGATCTATTATTATCGATCTATTGTTGTATGTAATGTAATATAATATAATACATGTATATGAGATAAGAGAAAAAGAATCAATGTTCCGGGCTACTCGAGAAGCCAATCGCGACAGGAAGTCTGCGATTATTATTTTTTATGGACTTTTGTTTTGCATGTTGCGTACGCGTATTGTTGATTTATTATTATTTTTACTTGTCCGGACAATGAAGCAAAGCGAAATATTTGGAGAAAAAAAAAGATAAATATATATATATGTACATGGTTGTTCGTTGCATTTAACTTTGATTTTTTTTATAAGCTGTTCAACTTGGCCACTTTCTTCTTTTGTTTTTGTTTTTTATATTATTATTATTATTATTATTATTATTATTATTATTATTATTATTATTATTATTATTATTATTAATATTAATATTATCTTTATTCTTCGTTGTTATTGCGTTGCGAGAAACGATCTTTATTTATTCAATCTATCGATGTAACGTATAAAATTAGATCGATGCTAAAATATCTCGTTTCTCGCAACGAGAATCGAATTTTGTATAGCAACTAGTAGAGTCACATTGCACGATAGATTCGATACACGACTCTGCGTTATTGCCATCCATTTATCTTCCTCACGAATTCGTCCGACATACCTGTTCTGGAAACTTTTCCCAGTAAGTAAGAACGCATCAGACGAGAATAATCAAAATTACAAATAACGTCGGATGAACTCGTTCCATCCCTCCTTCTCCCCCACCTTTTCTCCTTCTTTTATTTTCTTTAAGATTATTTTCAGCGCACGTTGGATCGATGGATTTCTCATGAATTATATTATCCGTCGAAACTTTTTATTGGATATAAAAAAAAAAAGAAAACAAAAGAGAATGGTACGATCGCTACTTTCGTTTTATTTTCGTTCTACGAGATTTCCTTATTTTTTTTATTCTTTTTCATAGATTACCTAATTTTTCTTCCTTGTTATAAACGATCATTATATTAATAATTATTTTACGTTATTACGTTATTATGTACTTTTATTTTCAGGTTTTATCCCCCTTACTATCCATTATTCTTCTCCTCCTGTTAGTTCCATTCTGCACGCACCAAAAAAAAAATATATGTATATATCCACACATACAATGATACAATATCGTATCCAGTGTTTTGATTTTCAGTAAATTAGCTCGCAAGTTGCATGCAATTTTTTTTTTTTTACATATCAGTGGTCACCTCTGTACTCTCTCACGAGCCGATTTACCGACCTCGATCTTTTCACAGAGTTCTCATCGGGGAGCGGAAAGTCGGAGGGCGACGGTTGGAAGGAGAAGTGCCGAAACCTCGGCGGATCGACGAATCAGTCATCGAGCGTGGAGGCATCGAGCGGCAAGTCGTCGTCGAGCAACGCCACGGCAACGGCATCATCATCATCATCGTCTTCGTCGAGCACGACGACCAGCAGCTCCTCGTCCAGTACCGCGTCCAGTTCCGGCACAACGACCACCACGACCACGTCGACGAGAAGCCCCTCCGTTTCGCCCGCGACAGGGAGAAGCGGCAACAACGCGCAGAACAGCGGCGGGAGCAGCAGCAGCGGCGGCAGCCCCGCGCCGACCACCAACTCGTCGACGAGCGGGCATCAGATCGGCACGATGTCCGCGCCGCCTGGCCGCCAAGTGCCAAAGAGACGCATGAGGCGTCGCGCGACCTCGCACTCCCAGGATCCCGCCGAACAATTGACCGAGATGTCGGTGCGCGGCTTGAATCTCTTTCGTTACGCCTCGATATCCGAGGGCGTTTACCAATGCACCGAGTGCGCGAAACTCGACATCCAGAAGACGTTCAAAAACAATACAGCTTCCAACGGCACGCGTTCCTCTACCACGAGGGCCATCAGAGAAAGGTGTTCCCGTGCCCCGTGTGCGGCAAGGAGTTCTCCAGGCCGGACAAGATGAAGAATCACATGAAGACGGTGCACGACTGTTTCATGCCCAAGGACTGCGTGGTTCCGTTCGGCTTTTTTCTCTCGCCTTAGCGGGCGGCGCGAGGGCGAGGTGGGGTGGCGATCGGTCCGTCGGTACGAGGGGCGACGAGGGGGGCCCGGGGCGGCGAGGAACAGCGGCAGGAGATCGGGGATGTGACTACGAGAGGATCATCGGGTTCGAACGTTGAGAGGAGCGCGAGGGGGGCGGCGTTCAAGCACGTGGCCGCCGCCTCGAGGATGATGTCCGTGTTCAGGCGGGGACGTGTTTGAGAGGAAGGGAGGGGGAGGGAAGTTCCTTTTCTCGACGCACGGGGTCTCTAGTCACCCCAGAGAGGCGAGATAGAGTATGGATAGAGGGAGGTGCCTTTCGTTTTTGAGAAAAGATAGAGAGAGAGAGAGAGAGAGAGAGAGACCTATCGCACAGCCTATCTCACCCCCGCGATGATCGATTCCCCTCTTGTCGAAGCGCGATTTAATATCCAACTTCTTTATGCGCCTTTTTATGCGATTTTAAATAGTCGTTTTTCTTTTCTTTTTTTTTTTTTATTATTATTATTATTATGATTGTTACGAGACGAAGAAGGGGCGATTGAAGGGAAGAGGGGAGGGGGTCGGGTTGAGGAGACGAACGCGACGGATCGGATACAAACACTGCTATAAGCGGGACGACGTCGAGTGATCGCGAGGAATTTTTCTTTTTCTTTTTTTTTTTTTTCTTTTCTTTTCTTTTCTTTTCTTTTCCAAATCGAAGAACGAGAAACGCGAGAACTGGTGACTGCTCGAGTAGTGCTGCTGCGTGTGTGTGTACATTAGTATTATTATTATGATCTTTGAACCGTGCAATAGCGCGCAATGCTTGTGCCCGATTGGATTTCTCGTGTCTCCTTCGCTTGTACCCCGTCTCCTCCTATCCCCCCTGTGCTCGTAAAAAGCGTGAAAAAGTATATATATACATATACATACATATATATATATATATGTATAGAGAATTCGAGTATCACGAATCAATAATAATTTGGCCAGTTGGAAAGAAGAGGGGCTTTTGAACTGTTGAAAAAAGGAGTTTATTAC